AGCCCCTCACACCGAAGCGAGTGGAGGTGATTTGGAGGTACTCGGCGATGCTCGAGGCAAGGTCGCGGGTGGTCCGAGTACTCGAGCGAAGGTGAAGATTGACTATGGCTCGGTTGAGATGCCCGGGTACGAGTGGGTGGACGAGGAGGTCGGCATCTACTTCTCGTCGTTCTTCGACCAAGGGCTACTTGACAAGTTTGTGACATTGGAGAAGTGCTTCGGCAGTGGGGAGGATGAATTGCCTTTAATCGCCAAGGCGTGTAACGATGATGGGCTGGACACTGATTTCGTGTTTTTGGAACCGGGATCGGAGGAAGAGGGGTCGGCCGGAGAAGATTACATCTACGCCTACATGTGCTGGTTCTAGGATCTCGGCATAAAGTTGTCCTTTGACGATTTTCAAATGGGGGTGCTCTGAGTACTGAACGTGGCGTCGACCCAACTGCATCTGAATGCTTGGGCAGCCATGCAAGCTTTCCGGAACCTATGCCTCTGCCTAGGCCTCATGCCCCGACCACTCGCGTTCCTATATTACTAGATCTGCTGTCCGAGCAAACCGGTTAAGTGGGTTTCCTTAGCTTAGGTGCAAAAACGGGGATTCTTGAGGGCGTTTACATCGTCATATAAGGGTTTTAAGAGTGGGTTTTTTAAGATCAGCTGGGGGCCGGATATGGATGACTGCTTCTATGACCGAGAGGGGTCTAAGTTGTTCCCCTTCTACTGGACGAAGCATCCGACACGTTTTGAAGCGATGGACGCTTCGAAGCTCCCTACCGAGGACTGAGAGATCATCGATCTTCTCGACCAATTGCCGAAGGGGTTTCCCGTCCGAGGACTCCTAGACATATTCGATTCTTCAAATTTTGAGTTTACTCTATTAGGTATGCTTATTGGCTTCGGTAGTGCAGCATTGTTTTGAATTGATGTTAAGACTTGTGTTATTGCAAGGTTAATGGCCAGATATAATTAAAAAATATAATTAATTATTAGTATAAAAAAAATTTATACTTTTGATTAAATTTTATTTAATTGGGCAGGGACACAGTTTTGTACTTTCGTTTCCGCGGCCCAGTGGCCCACAGAGAGGGGCAAAAAATCTTATCCATAACAGCATATGATTCGCATGGTGTGCAAACGTGGCAAGCGGGCGCACCGGGTCTCCATACACCGCCACCGCATGGAACCACTGCTCGACACGTTTGGTTTGTTTGCAGGTGAAGGCAACCCATGATAAATAGGATCGTGTTAGCGTATCAATGCCGCGTGACTCTTGAATCGATCCTCTGCTTCGACTTATAAGAAATTAACACTTCGCTGAGTTTGCTCTTTCATTTGGCATTTGGCAATGACGTCTTCGGTGCTTGAGGGTGGACGCGACGAGGTCAAACGCGAGCCCTCCGATTTGGTCGCGGAAGCCATTAATCTGACGGCCACGAATCTTTCGCTTCCCGCTGAAACGTTTCTCAGAGCGGCGATTTCGCTCAAGGACAAGGCATGTGATGCAGAATTTTGCATTTCATTTTCATTATTTTTTTTTTTTTATAAAAAAATAAGTAGTGAAATTACGACAGGTGGTGGAGGAGACTTGGAATCGGCGAGATCAAGTGGTTGATCCGACGGTGTACACGGGACTCTTGGGCACCGCCTTCACTTGCTTCCGCTCGTACCAGATTACCGGTTGCCGGAACGACTTGCTATTGTGCACTGAGATTATTGACACGTGTGTAACGGCTGCACGTGACTCCCTTAGGTATTTTCCTCTATTTTTAGTTTTATTATTTCGAAAAAAGAGAGAGAAGAGACATGTCTCTCTATTTTAAAAATAATAAAGTAAAATTAAAAGAGATATACTGTAATAAAATAATAATAATACAATAATTAGTTACCGTGAAGTGTATAAGAGAAGAAAAAAATATTTAAAAATTATTAATATTTTTTAAATCCATTGATTATCAAAATCTAAAGATTTTCAATGTTGTATTTGACATCAAACTTAAAAATCTTCCCTTTGAATCTAATGATTAATTTTTAATATTATTTTTTATTATTTAAAAATTTAAGAAATAATTTCTTTTATTATATTTTATAAAATAAATTATATATATCATCTTCATATTGAATAGTTTTTTAAAGTGACCGCATAATTATGTTTTATCTAATTATCCTTAATTTTTCAATTTATTTTATTATATTTTGTTCAACACTTGATTTTAGTAATTTAGCTTTATGTGTTTTGGGCGAATAATGGTTAGTGCAGTTTACTTTTAAACAAATATTATTGGTGGCGTGATTTAGAATCAGAGTACAAAGTTAATAAAATAAAGTATGATTAATCCGACATGATAGTTGAAAATGTAAAATAATCGGAGGAATTGTCGGATAGTAAAATTTCTTTTAGACATGACTATAATGGTTCATTTGATATTTGGATTGGAGCTTCAGAGTTTGAGAGATTACAATGCCAAGAGTGGCGTTAGTTTGAGGCAAACTTGATGGATTCCGATTGTGTTACGGTGATTCGAATGGGTCGCGCTGTTGGTGTCAGTCCAGTTTGGTAAAAAGTAAAACAGCTGGCTAGTCATTTCAGGGTGACACATTGCCACACATGAAATTCTAGCCGCATCTTTTAATACTCAAGTTTAGATATTTTGGACTGAAATTTTTCACTTCAATTCAAGTGAGAGCATTCATTCACTAATAAGTTTTGTTCCCAATGTTACCAAATTCCGACCTTGAATAAGTTCTCATGTTCAAGTTTATTTTTTTTTAGTTTAAACACGATTTAAAAAATAAAAAAAAAAGACCTTACAAAAAAGAATGAAATTGATAAAAAAATTTATATTAATAACATAATTATAACTCATATAAAACAAAATTTATAGACATTTTATAATCTTTTAATATATATATATATATTTTGAAATAGATAGATATTTTATATTAATAATATGATTATAATTCTTTATAACTGTTTTTTAATTTTATTAAATAAATAATGGGTTTAATAAATTTTGTGTTATTTGATGTCTCGTATAAAATTTATTTAGTAAAATAATATAAATGTATTAAGAATGTTATTAGCATTTCGAACATGAATTGGATATTTTCATACAAAATATTTGATCAAATCATTATTAAACTAATTCATTAAACCTTTAAATTGAAAAAAAAAAAACATAAATAACTTTGTATTGGTAACTCATGAATTCCTAGCATATACACGTTAACTCAATGATTTTTCTAGTAGTTTACGAGAATGGGAAAATGTGCCGTATTGTTTCTTGCATTTTGTTAGTTAGCGTTCCTTTTCATAGAGGTTTTTTTTTAATATTTTTAGACAAACTTAGGAACCATTCTTCGAGTCACAATTCACATGGGCATGGTCTTCTTATTGTTGACGTTTTGTTCTGTTACAGACACGTGACTTTTTTGTGCGGTAGAGGAGGCGTTTATGCGCTTGGTGCTGTCGTTGCCTATTACATGGAGGATCTTCCAAAGCGTGACCAGTTTTTGGGTCTATTCATTGAGGTAAGTAAAATCAAGAATATGAAAATACGTCCACAACATTTCATTTGTGCTCATGTGCAAGATATTTTGTCTTTTAATGGACCATTTTGCCTTACATATTTTGACTCTTATTCATCATCGGTTGACTATATATTGTCACATTCATAACAAGCAAGTAATTAGTTTTGCATTCTATAAAATTGAAGAATTTTCTTTTGCTCAGCAGTCTCTGGATTCCCACCGGAGCCTTACATATTATTTATTATTGAATTTATTTTTAGTGAAACAATTATAAACTTATTTGTTTAGTTTTCACTCTTTAATACCATTGAGATTTAAATTTCAAAACTTCTCGACGGAAAGAAAAAAAATTGGAAAATTTAAATTTAAATAAGAAAATGAAGTGAAAGTACATTTGAATTTTTATTTTTCCAGTTAACTTCTCTCTTCAATTAAATAAAAAAAATTGTATCATTATCTATATCTATATTTTTTACCCTATCTATTTTCTTCCCCCGAACATATGTTTGAAATCAAACGTTAATAGCAAAAAAAAAAAAAAACTCATTTCCCTTGTACCCGTTGCTTTTTTTCTTTTTTTTTTCTTTTCTATTTTGACGAATTTGTTTGTACACGTCATGGGACCTGCTTTTGTAGTCATCCGTGGTCCAATGCTCAAAAATGTTACAAGGCGAAAGAATAGCGCTTTCATATTTGTTGGAATCTTTAGATCAGGGACACGGATGTCCAAGTATGGCTATGCCCTACACCAGGATTTTTTCAAACTTGGTTTTCATCCTCAAAAATCTGAGCATTCACACTGTCTGGCATCCACTGATAGCAACATTCATTCATTATTATTTATCCATTAGAGTCGGCTTACCTGGGAATTTTTAATAATTTACACAATATTTTAAGTTCAAATTTCATTACCATTTATATATGATGGGATTAATGTGTAGGTGGGAAAAGAGAGAGCCCTCCCAGTTGGACCAGAGGAAGGTGGTTTTGGAATGTCATATGATCTTCTGTATGGGCGAGCTGGATTCTTATGGGGTGCATTATTCGTGAACAAACACTTGGGAGAAGATGCTGTGCCCAAAGAAATTCTGATGCCTATTATTGATGCTGTGTTGGCTGGTGGTAGAGCAGGAGCATCTGATATTAAAGACTGTCCATTGATGTATAGATGGCACGGAACTAGATACTTAGGTGCAGCAAATGGCCTTGCTGGTATTCTTCATGTGCTGCTTCATTTTCCACTTCCTAGTGAGGATGCTGAGGATGTCAAGGGAACATTGAAGTACCTCATGAGTAAGCGTTTCCCTCACAGTGGAAACTACCCCTCAAGTGAAGGGAATCCAAGGGATAAGTTGGTGCAGTGGGGTCATGGGGCAACTGGCATGGCCATCACTTTGTCCAAAGCAGCACAGGTAAATTACTTTCCAAAACAAATTATTCTAATATTCTTCATAAGGCATGTGTTGAAAAGGTTAAAAAAAAAAAAAAAAAAGACAATTTTGGTTCATTACTTTTTTTTTGTGTGTGTGTGTGTGGGGTGTTATTCTCTTATTAAAATTAAAAATTTACTTTAATATATAGTACTTAATGATTGATGATAACCTGGTCAAGGTTTGACCTAGATATCCGGTGCTCAATGGTGAATTGGTGATCTTTGTCAAGTCCTCAAAGTGAAATCCTAAATTAAAGAAAAACTCTAACAACACTTTGTTTCTCAAAATTTACGTCCAAATATGAAAAATCTCGATTTATATATATATATAAGATCGGA